ATTATTTCCTTTTATAACATTGTTTGTCCTCCACCACCCACCCAGCAGCTAATCTTACCAGATTAGAAGCCACATGTGTGCTACGGCACACGGCAGGCCTAATCCTGTCTCACACACGGGCTCACATAAAATAAACCGATGAAAAGCCCAGATGTCCCCACTGGGCCTAGGAAAGCACATAACTGATTTGATTTTCAAAAACAACCCGACTAACAGTCTCTTTAAAAGTATTCAATTTTTTCTCATGTTCCCCCTTTTCATTTTATTTAACACATAGAAACATGCACAACCCTGGGTACTGTCAATTCTTAACCAGATCATTCGGAAGGGATGCCAAGTGGTGCTGGTGCAAGTCTTTAATCCCAGCACTCAGGAGGCAGAGGCAGGCAGATCTCTGAGAGTTCGAGGCCAGCCTGGTCTATAGAGCAAGTTTCAGTACAGCCAGATAGAGAAACCCTGTCTGGTAAAAAACAGAAAAGGGAGTGGGGGCTGGGGTATAGTTCAGTGGTATACCATTTGCCCAGAATGTACAGACACTGTGTTCATCCTTCAGCACAGGAAAAAAAGGAAAAGAATCTAAAAGAAAAATCCAGTAACTGTCCTTGCTTCTTAATATATTTTTACGATGAACTGAATTAATCTAGAAAAGTTATATAATAGGGTATGGTTGTAGAGGGCTGGAAAGTGTCTCTGAAAATGTCGAGGTCCTAATTCCCAGAACCTGGTAATGTGTTAAAGGGACTTTGCATATGTAGTTAAGACTAAGGACTTTCAGATTGCAGAGAGGGGGCTCATCTCTCTCCAGCAATGAGTTAAGAGCACTTGTCGCTCTTGCAGAGAACCAGGCTTCACTTGCCAGCACCAACTTGGTAATTGGCAACTGCCTGTAACTCCAGCTTCAGGGGATCTAACACCCTCTTCTGGCCTCCATGGGCACCAGACATGCACATAGTGCATGGGCATACATGCATTTAAAATTTAAAAAAAAGATGCAGAAGGAAAACTGTGAGCCTTCTTCCTAGCTAGGAGTGGTCTCTAAAAGCTAGAAAAGAGAACAAACAGAATCATCATCCCATTTTAGACTCTTAAGCCCAGAACGGGTAGAGAACCTATGTTGTCTTAAGGTCATAGGGTTATGGTGATTTGTTACAGCAACTAGAGATTATAATGTATTGACTTATTACTGCAAGCACTTTCCCCCTTTAATTAAGTGTATATTCATGTTTTTTACATCTCTTTTTCTATGTGTGTGTGTGTGTGTGTGTTTTCATGTGTGAGTGTGGGTACACAAGTGCCATGGCAGATCCATGGAGCTAAGAGGGCAACCTCAGGCCCATGAGCTTCTTCTGAGGACTCTTGACTCTATGGAGCCTATCCTGGAACTAACTCTTGTAGACCAGGCTGGCCTCGAACCCACAGAGATCCGCCTGCCTCTTTCTCCCTAGTGCTTGGATTAAAGACATGCACCACCACCGCCCGGCTAGAACATGCTGATTTGGGGGCAGCAGTTAGGAGTGATGACTTGGATAAGACACAGTGGAGACACTCAAGCTTGCCCTGTGACCGTGACCTGGGAAAGGTTACTATCCCTTTAGTCTCAGTTCCCCATTCTGTCAGAAAGGAATAGATAAACTTAGTGGGTCTCTACTTCTATACTGAAGACCATTTGAAAGCAACAAATGCTATTGACTTTCTCCTTGGAAATAAAAATCACACATACACATCCACACAAACTTTGATCTTCCTTATGAATGTTTCCCTAGCTTAGGATCCATGAAAAACTCAGAGGCTAAATTAACTCCAAATTCAAGACTTCTGGAACATTGTCATTATTATTTATTATTGTTGTCATTGAAGGGGTGGGAATTGGGAGGACTAAGTTAAGGGCAGTTATTGTTCTTGCAGAAGACCAGAGTTCGGTTCCCAACACTCATGTCAGGTGAGTTACAGCCATCTGTAACTCCACTCCTGGGAAATCTGAAGCCCTCATCTGTCCTCCTGGGCAACTGACTCATGTGCACATCACACACACACACACACACACACACACACACACACACACAGTTGAGCTAGGTGTGGAGCACTTAGAAAGCTGAAGCAGGAAGACAGCATGGACTACATAGGGAAACCTTATCTCAGAAAAGGGAGGGAGAAATGAAATTGTGGGGTTCTTAGCACTGCCCACAGTCAGCATCACTGTGCCTTTCTTGTATTTGATATTAAGTTAAAATGACTATCAGAATAAGCTCAATTTTATTAGCTGAGCACCTCTCCCTTGCTGCCCCTTAGCCCACTGCACTGCAACACACAGAATTTCAAATGGTAAGTTCTTTTGGGTCATGTGATTCAGTCCCCTTCTGTGGCCTGATTCTGTGCACAGCATCCTCTCACCAAGTCTTCCTTAGCAGACAGGGAAGGCCCTGGAGAATAGCCCTTTTCATCTCTAGACAGTACTTCCAGGACTCTTCCACATAAAAGCAATGAAATTCAGTGTCAAAGATTTAAGAGAATCTAGGCATCTCCAGAAAAATACTTTGGTGCCTGACCTTTATTTAATGCAGAGTTCAGTAGGAAGAGGCAGAGTAGGTGAAGTTCTGTGAGTTCCAGGCCAGCCAGTACTACATAGAGAGACCCTGTCTCGGGGGGGGGGGGGGCGGGGGGGAGATTACTAGGGACTGGAGAGATGGCTCAGCTGTTAAGAGCACTGGCTCCTCTTCCAGAAGTCAGTTCCCAGCAACCATATAGTGGCTCACAACCATCTGTAATGAGATGCCCTCTTCTGGCCTACAGGCATACATCCAGGCAGAACACTGTATTGCATAACAAATAAATAAAATCTATTTTAAAAAATTACTAGAATATCCCACTTAACTTCAGAATCCTGAAACAGAATCTGGCAGATTGGCTCTGGGGACTTTGAGGTACACAATGGTGGTGACTGACCCAAGAACAGCATCTGCCATCTGTGTGTTGCTGTGTTTTTATATTTTAACTCTAAATCTAGCTGACTTCATACCTGTACTCAGCACAAACATGCATGCTTGTATGCACACACAAAGACAGACTTCTCTGATTTGCTATTCCTGTCACTTGGGCTCCTGATCACTCCTTGGATGGCAATGAGCCACATGCCCTGGTTCACAACCGTTTTCCTGAAGGTCTCAGAAGGCACAGACAGAGGAAAGAGAGTAGAAATGCCAACCAAGTTATTTCTGAGAAACAGGACCCACCCCACAACAGCTGACACCGTAACTACTCACCCACCCAGCTTATCCGAACCTGTCTTTATTCAAGCCACACAAACGCCAGACAGGTCACTCCAACTGTGGCTCAGAAAATGCTGTCATCCTAATGTAATCACTATGTCGAGGAGTAGCCTGCTTGTTTTTAAGTAAGGATTAAGTACTGTTTTAAAACTTCTGCAGCTCCATGTAGACAGGGTTGTAGGGAAATGCGAATATAACTTTAACAGATCCTTTTAAAGCTGAAAACAGCAAGTCCCTTCTTGTCACGTGCCCTAAAGAAGAACTACACTGTGTACCTGTGGACGCTGATGGCCTAGAGAAGAATCACACTG